AGGAAAGCATATTTTACGAGACATATCGCTATGGTGGTACGTATAGCAGCGGCGGCGTACGATCTGTAATCTCTCGTTCCAACGGCATGCATTTTTCCATGCGGTTACATCTCTTTCAGCAAACAGGCTAAATAAATTATTATTCTGACGATCGGATCACGAGACCGTACCTGTCTCGCTCAAGAAGGTCTCCATCATGAACGCGAAAAGAGTCACGTTACCTTCCTTCGTGAAATAACAGTAGCGTAAATTTCTCGTTACGAAGCGAAGCGAATCGAATCGGGATTAGCCAGAGCGCACTGTGAGATACGCTTAATCTGAAAAGACGAGCATTTTATCTAGCGCCGTTTATTAGCGCACGCTGACTTATAAATCTTAGGAAACAACCGATTGTGCAATTGTCACATTAAAATCTTTACGAAAATTACATTACCACCAAGAGATGATTTCGGTCAATTAATTATTTTCAGATTCCGCACATGATACGTGCATTTTCACGAAGCAGCCACAGAAACATCAATTATATCTCTGAGTAAATATTTATCTCATTCTAGCTTATTCGAACGAAAGAATTTCGAAAGCAAAAGAGTAAATGTAGAAATACGATCGGACAGGATGTGTTGGGTTTGATGATGCATCGAATTCCACGCGCGTGTCGCATCAAGACGAGGAGACGATTTTCAATGCAAACACACATGTGTCGCGACCGCTGGCGAATCTATCCTTGTTAAGTATCGCGCGTGTATAATCGACACAGTCGGACTCTCTCGGTTGATTAAACGCACCATTAACGCGAACATTAACGCTTAAAAACAAAGGTGAAAACTCGCGGTCGCGCAAATTTACGAAATGCTGCGTGATTTTATCGCTTATAATCTGGAGAAATTTCCAACTGTCGTCTATGCAAACTTGTAAAGTTGTTAATTTGATGCACCGCCGTCGGTAGCGAGCACATTTCACAGGAGTTTCATCGCGCGAACTATCGCTACGAAAAATTTTCTGCGCGTTTAAAAATGGATAATATCCATAATAATAGAGCGAACACGAGAGAGAGAGAGAGAGAGAGAGAGAGAGAGAGAGAGAGAGAGAGAGAGATATTTCACACTTCTTACGTTCACAATGACGATAGAAGTCATCATCTATTCACATAAAATTCGATAAATCGGATTAATAATTCGTTTGATTATCTTCGCTTTTAACGAAGCGCCAAGATTTTAAATATCGCGAGCGAGGAAAGGAAAGATGTGTGTGAGCAGAGGAGAGAAGAGGAAAGGAACTCGCGCTGTATACGCGCGTTTCCGCCATCAAATTTCGTCAGGATCGGCGGATTTCGACGGATTCAAAGACGGACGTTCAAGTGCTCATTGCTAATCCGATCAGTATGACGAGACGTAACGTCACTATCAATCGCGACGTGCAACTATGTTCGTCATGTGCACGCGTATATCCCACGAAGCTACCGATACTTTGCCGCAATTACTGTAATTGCCTTATACCGAAACTGTCGCTGTACGTCGAATCGATCGAATCGGCAAGCATTCCAATTAAGCCACCGACGATTGGTTAGGTTAGGTTACCAAATGCTCATCACTGCTCGTATACATGTACGTACATGTGCGTGCATGTGTGTGCATGCGCGCACAGGAGATAATTTATTATATTTGAAACAAAAACAAAAACAGGAATCCCGAGTTTTGCACAGCACACTTGGCCCCTTGAGAATAAATTTTCGGACTGCCGAGAATTCGCGAAACTTATTCGCCAAACTAGCCACATCCCCAGTGGGAGAATATTGAAGAAATAAAATGTTCATGCTATAAAGATCCGTTTAAAGCGCGACGATATATAAATAATTTAACGCGTGCGCGCGCACCTATCCTTTGGATTCGTCTCGTTTTCTTTACCGTGGTTCCGCAAATGGAGTGACCGCGAGTCGCTTTTTCGACATTTCGACGTTCAGAGGAAAAATTATAGTTATGCCGCTGCCGCGCGCGCGCGCGTCGACCGTAGCTCGCATTCTCACGGAGGTCAGCCGACCCTACTAGAATCCAAATGTGCGATAATTCGAGGAGAATGCGGGTAATATCTGACGCGATACTCGTCAGTCCTACCGCGCCGGGAGGATATCTGTTTTTGTCAGCTGCACGCTGGTCCACCTGTAAGAAGTGGAATTTTGCCAGCATGCTCGCTGCCGCGAAAACATCGAGACGCAGGAGCGGATCTACGAGATGCGCGACGGCAACGACGAGACGCCGCGCTCCCCAGACGTATCTTTCGTGTATGAAATAATTAAATTCCGGTTAGTTTTTCCGAAAGTATCCATTCGCGGAGGTGAGGTGAGGTGAGGGACGAACGCATTTCACGCTTTCAACGTCCTCGCCGTCTGCCGCTTTCCTCGGTCGGTGGGACTAGCGGAAATTACATTAGACGTTGCGAAAAGTCACCGTCCGCTCCTGCGATGAAACTTCTATTTCATTCTGCAGTCAATGGCAGTCGCGGCGCGGCGCGGCGTCGCGCTCACAACGTGCCCGCGTACGTGGTTTTCCTTTTTGTCAAGTATCGCATTAAGCCTGCCTAATGTCACTCGAAGAAAGAGCGCAGGATGAAAAGCGGCGGACGGGGGCGGCAATGTGAAGAAGGAGGAGAAAAGGGGCGGCGAAGGGGGGAGAAGGCGGAAAGGTAAAAAACGAGCGGGCCCGATAGATCGATCCGGCGGAAATTTCTCAGGGGAACAACACCCGTGTGAGCGTGAGCGCTCTGCCGCAGGCCGTTCAGGCGCTATCCTACATCCATCACGCGGAATTTGCACATTCGTGCTGGACAACTAGATTTACTGGCGAAATATTCATCCGGCGGCGGAGAGGGTATAGAGGACGTAATCACGAAGGAATCTACAAGATTTATTAATGCGTGTGTAAACTGAAAATTATTTACAGGCATAAGAAAAGTAACGCTCGACGTGTGTGTGTGTGTGTGTGTGTGTGTGTGTGCGCGCTTGAATCTATATACCTATATACATTCGTAGAAATATTTATATGTCCCGCTATATCTGCGAGCGGTGGATATCAGTTTCGCATTAATATTAATTTTTATCATTCGCGTGAAAATGCGGAAATGCGCGGAAGTCCCTCGATGGGCTGCATTATCGTGCGATGAATCGTTGCGATAGATCAATTTCCGCGTAAAAGCGCACACTTATGCGCGATTAACGCGCAAAAATGGCTACGTCGCGATAATTAACAATATAGGTAGAACATTCAAATGCAACTGACACGATAGCACATGTGTGTGTGTGTGTGTATGTGTGTGTGTGTGTGTGTGTGTGTGTGTGTGTGTGTGTGTGTATGGTGTTTCATACATTGAATCGCAATGTAAATAATTAATCGTCACTATTTATTAGCATGGTAATGCAAAGTGAGCGCATAAATTCATAATGTATTATTAATCTTTTATACAATGAAAATTTGTGCTTTTAGCACGACGCGAGCCAATGATACGCGACGCGTGAGTTTCACAAATCTCACGGAAATTACGTAACAACTTAATTCGCGACGTATCCGCTCGCAGACAAGAACCAATATCGGACGTACAGAGAATCGATTTCTATGCGAATCATATGCAATTCGATGAGGGTGGTCTCTCTTTTCCGCGATTCGTCAAAGCAGCTAGAGAGAGAGAGAGAGAGAGAGAGAGAGAGAGAGAGAGGGAGAGAGAGGGAGAGGGAAAGGGTCACCTTTACGGTTCATCTCTGCCGATCGGTTTTCGTGCTTTTTCCAGCCTGCGCAGTCTCGTGACTTACGTTACTGCGCTTCTTGCAGCGCGGCAGAGGAATAAATTGACTGAAATTGACACCCACACCTACCGTGCGCCAACGCGAATTGACGGCGACCGAATTGGATAATCGGTGGAAACGCCACGATCGTGGCGATTTGCCCCGTATGCATCGACATGCCCTTGTCCTCGTCCCCCGCCCCGGCCCCCCCGGCCCCCGTGTCGTATACGTTTCGCCCTCACTCCCGACATCCCTGACTCCTCGCTATATACATTTTTTTATCGAGCCTATTTTTCCTAATCACGCGTTATATTCCACATCACTGTCGCGATGATCGCGATAGAGACTAACGAGCCGTTTTATCCCTTTGACGGCGGCTCAAAAATAATTTCTCGTAGGCTTTATATGCCCCAAGGGATTGCCTATTGTACAAACGGCAATGTTGTACAAAAGCGGAACTCGCAAAGTATGTTACGTAACAGCCGGCTGCAGAGCAATGGGCTAAGCTTGCATTGTGCGAAGATACGTTTTTTCAATTATATTTTTCAATATTGCGCGTTACATTTTATTGAGTTTTGATATTGCCCTAATATTGCGCACTATGGACACACGATATACCGTTCATTGTGTTCACCGCGTGATTTTGAACACCGGCCAGCAATATTCGTTAGTAATCCTTCGCGAGCACACCTTTATCTGGATAGGGTGATGTATGAGGTAATTAATGGTTATTCCGCGCCTAATTGCCCGAGCGATTATGATTTTCCGTACGCGCACATCGTTGTGCCGCGCTGCCATGGCGGAGTTTTAAATAGCATCGTCCCAAATAAAATACGGAATACGCCCGCACATCCAAGCGAATTACTGTCATTATTAATAAAACACGCGAAAGAGCGCGCACGCAATATATACTGAAGTATACAAAATACAGAATATGCGAAATATAGAAAGCGACTTTAAGTGAAATAACTTGAAAATGGCCGAAATGCCAAAAGCGCGCCCCGCCCGCACATTAGCGGTAATCAGCGGTTACGAAGAAGGTCATCGTTCTCGTCGTTTACAATTAATCGGTATTAGCCATTGCATCGTACCAAAAGCCGATTGTCGATCGGAAAATCGTTTAGACATGTTCAGAAAGGAAGAGAAGAGTATGCGTGTCAGCGTGGCAGCACGAAGCATATCGTAAACGGTAAACATGATAATGATTTAATAATGATTTTTGTTACAGGTGGACGACGCGATTCGTTAGAGGACGATTCACTCGAGGATGCAGTCAATGTCCGCTTCTCCCTGCCGAGCCTAAACATACCGAACTCCTTCTTTGGTACGTAATATTCTCGAATACGCTCACAGCTCGAGCTTTAATTCCCCGATACAGCTGATTTGTTTTTTCTTGGGCTGCACCGCGTTATACTTTCCGCACTTAAAATGGCATTAATGTAGAATATGTCGAAAGTTTCATTGGAGAAAAGGAGAGAGAGAGAGAGAGAGAGAGAGAGGCCAAATTGCGAGAGAATACGGAAAGTAGTTACGTGGAGCTTTGTTCAAAGAGGAAAAGCAAACTACATGCCGTCGTATCGACCTATTATTAAACTAATCCTCATAAATGCATACGTATACACACACACACACATGCGCGCACGTAGCTCTCGCTGCACGTTTAACGCCAAACGTGGCCGCTCATTCGGACATCAATTTGAGCCGTTCGATATAAAAACTACGTTTAGCGTAAATGCGAGATGACGCACATTGAAATGACGCTTTTAGCGGCGCGGGCGGATGCGCCGGTCGAAATTAGATGGTCGCGTTAAATCAAGCGCTTAAATACAGACGCGAATACAAACCCATTATTTTCATTAGCGTATCGGGAATTAGCGTTCCTGTATTTCCGCGCTCTAACGCGAATCCACAAACGCTGAACGTACGAGTGTGCGTATTGTGACCTCTGACAGGTGGCGCCTCATAGAGACGTGCGCAAACATGCGCGCACGCACAATCGTGCGTGGCCACGCGATTGCATCGCGCGTCTGATTGCATCAGGCTCGTGTTCCGCTTACATGCGGTTTGTCTGAGCGTAACTTTCGTTCAGTCTGCGCCTATGGGGGCGCCTATTTGGTATTGTTTATAGTGCAACAATTATCGCGCTCGCCATCATTCGCTCCGGGCGAATGACCTTGGTCATCACACAAGCGGGCTCCTATGTTTGACCTACTATAATCAATGATCGTCCGATATATATATATATATCGTTTCAAAAGTCGATTGCCTCTGCCTGCTCTCGAATCGATCGTCCAATTCGGGCGATCAGCGTTCGCGATTTTTCGCCGGGTTTTACTGCTCGCCAAACAACCGAGTGTCTTTTCACGACAACACGGCAGTTAATAACCCGAGCGACGTGCGTCCGTAGCGTTCTATCGTGTGAGATTCGCGCGACGTTTGAAATGGAATTAATATCCAAAATTAACTCTTCACCCCCCGCGTGAAATTCTATGTAGTAATTATAATCGTGCGTGTGTGCAGTTTGCAAATGCGGCGTGAATTTCCAAGGGAGAAAGGACACCTCGCACATGTTTGAGCTTGGAAAATTAATTAGCCGGCTGACAGATCAGAGAAAGATAATAGGCATTGTCCCTCTTTTACGATATGCATATGTTCAGGATACGCACGATATCGTCGTGCTTACAACACACGCGATAGTAAACGTAGTGCTCCCTTCTTTCGGCTAGCAACAATTGAGCTTTGCCGGTGCATAGAGCCCCGGGGCATCAGTGCGCTGTACGCGTATTCCGTTGGTTATCGCATGGCTTTGCGGAAGCCAGTTTCCGCTCTTCTGCGCTCTGGGACGAGCAGCGATCTCCTGCGAACCAGCTTGGCCAGCCACGAGGTGCGCCGATCGGATGGACCTACCACCTGCATGCATGTACAGGTTACTTCAGAATCGGATGTTCTTTAGAACGATTGAGAGCGAGCGCCTCGACTCCGAGCCGTACAGAGATACCAGAGATACCGTAACTCTCTCGGCCCCTCCTCCCTCGCCGCGATGAAAATTTCATGCGACTCACTCTCTAGCATCAGCTAGATGTTTTCCGTAAACAAATTTGAATCTCCATGGAGATGAAGTCCGCTCAAAGTTAATCAGAAAATATGAAATTTTGTTACTGACTTCTTCTCTGATTTGCCGAAGCTTAATCAAGCAGAAGCACTTCGTTTTCCAATCATTCCAACGATTCGAAAACCGTGGATGTATTTTTGCACTTTTATGAAATCTGCGATAAAAAAGCGGTATTCGGCTGCTTTGAGACGATCTGTATGTGATACGGCCGTATATAATCTCTCGCGGATAATGACTCGTGTATTGTGCGTCGTGTATGTGTGCGTAGGCGTGCGCAAGCGTGCCAGACGTCACTCTCATTACGTAACAATTCGAATTGGATCTATCGCGAAACAATATCGCGCCCGTAGGCCATACCTTCGCTCTGACAATCGCTATTTGCTCATCACATAAGAGAATTCGCATGCGAAATCGGATCCCCGCATTAATGTAATCCGAGTGTACGCGTTATCGAAATTTTCGTCAGACATTTATCGCAGAATTTTGCGCACAGATAGTCGTTTGAATTAAAATCTCAAAGATCTGTGAAAGCAGCGTAGAAAACGTAGAAAATTTAAATGCACGAGAGAGAGAGAGAGAGAGAGAGAGAGAGTGGGAAGGAAAAGAGAGAGACGAAATAACCGTTAATAAAAATAAGAATAAAGCATCTAAAAATAGAAGCTGACGTATAAATGTATACCTTTGCAGATAAGAATATATATGACGTATAAAATCAAATATAGAAAACTGGAGGTATTTAAAAGCCTGGAAAAAGAAGCTAAATATTAAAGTCTCGTCTTTGACGGAGTACCCAGATATAGAATAAACGCGAGGAAGAAATATATCAACTACGGAGGCGCCGCCTCCGTATATCCGTAATTATGCAGGGGAAAAAGAAACTTATGGAGAAGGTGAACGCGCAACCTCGCTACAATAGCCGATGCTAGCCGAGTGCGTGCGCAAAATTTGTTATCTTCGGACAAGTTTTTTTTTCCAATACAGCTCAAACTACCAGATGCACGCGGTCAGGTAAATAAAGCAACGCGAAAAAGCCATCCACGTTGGATGTATATTTTCGACCTCTTTTTGCCGACTAATATTTAACAAAATTTTCGTTAAATATTTTTATATGTCTCGCGTGCGCCCTCCTACCCACGCGACGCTTGTTTTATAAATATTTATAGAGTGCAAACAATATGCATCAGAACGTCGAATATGCATCCGAATAAGCAAGAATTTTACATGGGAATCGGCTGAATGGTACCGCGACCTGAAAAATTCGCACAATTCCTCGAAATTGTTGCAACTTCGATGCAATTTCCTTAATGCACATACGGATATAAATGCCATACGCTTATCGCGCGCTTACTCGCATGCTCGCGCGTTACATAATACAATTGCAAGCTTGCACTTCCGGTTCCGGTACATCCGTCATGCCGTTAATCGATATAATTATAGAATGACGAGACAGACGGCGGTTTAGCAAATATCAAAACGCATCGTTCTAATTAGTTCAGTCACGTCGTAAGGATTACGAATTTCCTCCTTGCGCGACGAATAGGACGATCTTAACTCCATGATATAAGACCCCGTGAATTTCGATTTGATAGAACAGAAATGCGATATTTGGAAATACCGTAAAAGTGTCGTTCTTGCAATTCTCCAATTAAATTAAAACGTTTCAATTATTTCTTAAACTATTTATTAGATGATTTCAGTCATCGATGACATTAGTCGATCTTGTAAAACGCGAATATAGATTTCATAAAAAAGTAAAGACGACATTTCCATATTTGTGCGATCACAGGAAGTTAATTCAATTTAAGGAGAGACATACATAACGAAATTTATTTTCGCATATGACGTCCGTTTTATCTGCTCGAGAAGTGCGCGCACCGCATTTAGCGCTGTAGAGACATGACCGTTCAATTTTCGACCGAAAATGCGCGCGACGTTGCGTATATGCAATATCTTCATTCAAAAGAGATAAGGCCACAGGAGGAATTACACGGGGGCTAAATCTCCGTCGCTATCGCTGTCAACGTGCGCATTGTGCGATCCTTGCATGCGTTCTCGAGAGAAGCACGATATTCGGCGCGCGCGCGCGCGCGCGCATGTCGCCAGTGACAAATATCTCTCTGTATAATATGCATGCATATTTTTGCACGGCCGTAAAAATGTGCGACAGGAAAGGGTGGCCGTGATCGATCGGCGTGATTAACGGTGTTATCGCGTGGAATTCGCAACAAGGCGACTTCGGCAGATCCGGCAGCGTGCTTGCGGCACGTGCTGCACGCCTCGGCCTCGGAGAAAAGCGACACGGCGACGAGCAGGAAAAATCACGCGGCGGCAGCGACGACGTCGCGTTTCGCGGCCTTTCGAAACGGCGCGGCAGGGTAAAGGTCGCGACAATGCGCGGTCGATGTTTGCGATACCAAGCCCGCGTCAAGATCAATGCGAGAGAGAGAGAGAGAGAGAGAGAGAGAGAGAGAGAGAGAGAGAGAGAGAGACGCGAGAAAATTGCATTATATCTGCGCGATATAATGGACGCAACATACGGTGATTTATGTCGATATGCGTTATAAAAAAAAGGAACTTAAAAAAAGGAATTTATTCCGAAGAAAAATATTTATACGAACAAGCGGCTGTCCGCGGTTCTGGATGGTTCCTGGATAAAGTTACGCGCAGCTGCTGCGCGACTGTATTAAGTTAAAAATACCTTCGAATTGCGAATGCCGGCAATAAAGCGAATAAAATTTTATTTCCAAACGCGCGCGCGCGCGCGCGTACGCGATCTATCTGCGTCAGGTTTTCGCACGGGGAAAGAAGTGTGGGGACGCTGGTTGGTTTTATGGACGGACATCCTTCCGATCCGCGAGCGCGTAAAAAGTATCGGCACAAAGTATCGGAATATTAGTAATTTTATATAACGTAATAGGTCACATTACAAGAGTGGTCCTCCTGAGCGTTGATCATCCCCTTTGTAGACCGCCGTAGCCTCTCAGGAAAGGCAAGCTTTTCCCTCTGCTGAAATTTCGCTTGATATTGCGTGCGGCGTGATTAAAGCTCGGCCGAAAATTAAATTTTTCAGGGAAAATTAACAGGTCGCGCAGGAGAATTAATTGGCGCGACTGCTCGCGACCTCCGCTATTTTCCGAAGAGCCATTCTCTCGCGCCGGTATATTTTGCGTGATAGTGGGGGGAGGGGGGGGGATGGACGCGCGCACCCCCCGTACGTATACGTATGTGCCGTGCGACCGCGCGTATACGGGAAATTAATAAATTAATGAATTGATAAATTGATAGATAAATTCGGCGATAATCCCGCGTGGCGTAATTTATCGGAAAATTTATGAAGGGACGGCGATGATGAATTTTGCAATTTTTAGTATTTCCCGTTGACAGTTGTTGAATTATTTCATACCAAAAATATAGTGTCGCCACATACATACATACATACATACAAATTCTACACGGATAGTAACATTGCAACGTTTTGAAACGTACTCGCGCTGAAGACTTAAGTAATCCAGATGATATTCATAAAAGACGTGTGTCACACAGATGTGTTTTCACAGGATTGACAAGATGACAAAGCCAAATTAATACATATATATTGATACAAATATATTACAGATATATATATATATATATATATATATATATATATATATATATTATGGAAATATTAACAAGTGACAATATGTATGTACGTGTGTAAATCAAGAGCATCAAGAGATACACGTGACAAAGTGTTGTGAGGCACCGGATCATTCGAGGATTTCATCGTTAGGGATGGACTGACGGGACGATTCCACGGCGTGAATCACAGAGGAATAAATCTGTGAGCGGCATGCGATCTCTTACGTGTATCTCATACATCAAATTCTGCGGGTGTTCGTGCGGAATACAGCGCACGCGGCGGATAGTTTCACTAGTATGCCTATTTGCGAGTCGCTACGATGTCAGACTCGAAGCTTTGATTGTATTGTCTTGGCCGATCGACTGAAGCGAGAGAAGCGAGAGAAGCGAAAGTTGATCCGACTGAGTGCCGGAGGATCAATCAGTCGTCGCCGCCGGGTAGGCGCGTTAAAAACGCGTTAGATCGCTCGAGAAAAGTCCGTGCATTTTTCTCCTCTGTGTGTGTGTGTGTGTGTGTGTGTGTGTACGACTAGCAAAAAATAAAAGAAAGCAAAAACCTTTCGATCAAGCCGAAAATTTTCCGACACGTCCGATATCGCATTTTAAGAGGCAGCAGTTTCTAAAATAACATGACAACTTTCAATTTGGATTTTCACTGCCAGTTACGTAACATACAATTGTGTAAACAATCCGTCACGCGGCGAAGTCGACATCGCGCACTCGCAACGTGGACGATGATAGATGACGAAAGTGCGGAAATTGCACAAATTATCATCGGTATAATCGGTATGTCAAGATCGGCTAAAAACATATTTTCGCCGCTGTCTCTCGCTATATTATTAAGAATATTTTCTACCGAGGACGAGATATCACGAAATGAGATCACGAGGAAAGCGCTCTCTCATCGGCTTTACCGGCCCAAAGCCAAAGCGCTCTCGCAACACGCGGATTGGAAGGTATGAGAAAATGTCATTCGCAAAGGTCACATCGCCACGCGCGCGGCTCTCCAAGGTCGACGCACAAGAGCACAAACTCGACTTCACTTTCACCGTCGAAGGGATTTTAAAGCGTCGATTACATGGCGCGCTTTCGTTCAAAAGTACGAAAATGAAGATAATCGGTCGTCGCGATCGACCGGTATAGCACGTAATCCGAGGGAGACTGAAAGCCGCGAAAGCGGCGAATAGGACGGCAATTTGCAGCAATAATCGTTGATTGCGCGACTCGATGAATCGTTATTCAAATCCGCGTGACACGGCGCCGTGGGAAACTGGCGGACTGGAAAAGGGGCCCGGGGGACCGAGTGTTACCGCAATCCAGCAGAGCTCACGGATGCCAATTTTCCGATCATTTCACCCGCGTTTATTATTTTAGCGCGCGAACAATCTGAAATTTAATAATAAAGCACGCCCGCTGAACGATTTGCGTCGCGGAGGCGTTTCCGGAAACTGTGGTTCCGGCGTCGTCGCCGGGAAACGCATCGGATGATTATATTCTGCTCATGAAACTGATCATTTATATAAGGGCACGTAAGAGTTCCACGTGTGTGCACGTAGGTGTGTGTGTGTGTGTGAATACAAAGTAAAACAATTATTATTTTACGCAATAACAAATTTTTTATATTGATTTTATATTGTTGATTAATACAAGAGGGAAGCTCTTGTTTTTGTCTTTTACTTTACAATTCGTAATAATAATGATGCGTACGAGTACGAGTACGGGACAAGTATCTCTCTAAACCAGATTATTACGCAGAAATCTTTTGATAGTAGAAAATCCAGAACTTCGTTCTCATTAGTCTTCACCTTGCATCTCCTTTCGTTTCTTCCATCCATTTTATCTCTTGCACTCGCCTCGTTGTATCTTTAGACCAATTTGCAGCCGTCATTCTCATGACTTTGCGCGTCCTTGCGCGTGAAAATTCAACGCAGTTGCGTTAAAAGTAGAGGTATTTTAGAGAGGTTTATATTGTATATATAATATATGCGCGCGATATGTACACAAAATAAAGCGGACGTAGCAAAATCTCAATCGTCAATTTTGCGACCGGTTGCGGCCTTCTATCGAACCCTATCGGCACCCCGCACCGCCGGTTCGGCGGTTCGGCGGTTCGGCGGTTCGGCGACAGGTTCTCGCTTTCGTGACTCAGAACTTGGAACGATATATCAGCACATTTATCATGTTGCCATATTCGTCACATCGAAAGTCGATGACAAACAGTTCCGTATGCAAAGACTCGGCTCGGCTTAGTTACAAGACTTTGGTTATCGTAGGTAATTTCACGTGCTGCATGGAGCGGGATCGACGCAATTAAAGCATGACAAGCAGAGCGGCGCGAGTAATAATGGTAGCGTGTGTGAACTTCGATCTCCATTCATGTTATAAGACTTTAACGAGAGACAGCGGAAATTTCGATCTGCAGAGTCAATATCTCGGATTCACAAACTTGACGTTCGTTTCGTGTCGTCGTTAAATGAACATTACGCAAAACCCATTACGTAAATTCCTGTCTGACGATGAAATAGATGGCAAAGATTTGCAATTTTTATATTTTTATCGCAAATTACTCAACACGTTTCGCGATCAGTCTAATATAAAAGTGTTTACTTGTTGTGCTCACGCTAAAATGCGGAAATCGATATCAAAATTTCCCTTCGCCGATTCGGGCATTGATAAATCGCGCTTCGCATTCGGCACGTGTCGGCACGTTTCGAAATAAGCGTTTACGGACGGCTGTTTTTAACAATAGCCGGTCGTTCTGCCGGCTTAATTAAAATTATCGCGTACGAAGAGAGCCGGTAATTTCGCGTCGATTTCAATGGCCGGTATTCGTCGATGTAGCCGGTAGCCGTGTCGTTGCCCCCGCGTTTTGCAAATTTTTTTATGCAAACGAAGCCCCCACCGTCGAACAATACGCCCGATCCGATGCGCCCTCATTGAGATTCCACATAGCAATAATCGGCCAATACAGTCGACTATTTTACTCCGGCAACCGCATTGTGAGCGCAATAAAGTATGCAAAATTTATTGGCGCGACCGACGAACCCGCGTCTCCTCCTCTCCGCCTTTTTCTCCCTGTCTCTCTCTCTCTCTCTCTCTCCCTTCGCGCGCGCGCGCGCGCGCGACTCAATCATGGCATAAATTATTATTACATTTCGCGAAATAGTAGGTCACGAGATCAACCGCCGTTTTATTTATAACGCGCGCCAACCGCGCGTCTTATCGCGAGACTACCGAAATTGCATAATGATATTATATCTCTCTCTCTCTCTCTCTCTCTCTCTCTCTCTCGCGCGCGCGAATTCGCCAACGCTGCAAGAGATGCTGGATATGTGATATCCATGAGAGACATATAAATGTTTGTCGGAGGAAAATGTGAAAATAACGAAGAGAGACGCACTTGTCAGAAGAATCGAGACTTTCCTCGACAGAGCTGCGGGAAATTTCATCAGCGACGATTTCTGTGAACGCGATTAAATACCAATTGACCGCGTCGTTAATAGAGTAATATACTGGTGAATTATACTGATGAATTACACACTTTAGAGACCACGACTTTCATATCGTACACGTCGTGGCGCAAACGTGCTAAATAGTCTCGTTTAACGCGCATCGCGCTCGCGAGAGATACGATTCTTCGATGTGTACACGGTTCTTTTTGCGAGATTTAAAAGAGACACGGACGTATTACCGTGCTCATTTGTTGTTTGATGCGTCGTTCGACTCTTGACTCGTCGTTCTGGCGTGCGCACGACCTGATTCACGCCGAATCGCAATAAAGCGCTATTGGGTCGTTAAAATGGAACGGTACGGTAACTAGGCGGAATCAACACGACGGAACAGTCGCTAAATGTACGACTCGAAATACAAAAGTTCCGGCAATACTCGCGAACGGCGCGCAGCGATCTTGAGAGCTCGCAGCTGCATTTAATACTCTTCGACGCAGGTCGAAAGTACAAAGAGAAGAGAGACTTATCGCGAGAGCGATGATCGCTATCGCAAAAAGTCCAATTTTCGTATGCGCGAAATTACGTTCGACAAATTACTATCACAGGAGTCACGTTATTATGGATGATTGAATAAAAGCCAACGTGCGATCGATAGATTGATATATTGCGCGAGCGACGAGACTGCGTGTGCTTCTGCCACGAATTATTTCAACGAATTATTTGGTTTTTTTTTTTTTTTTTTTTTCACAATAAGTCGTCATACGGATCGATGGGCCTGTCGTAGCACGCTTCATTTCTCAAACCGAAATCATGAAAACGCGATTTCGCGGGTCAACGACAACATGTGGCCCTAAAAAGCCACATCACCCCTGAATGCTTGACAAACGCTTTTCATTATTTTTTTCTTTTTTAACAGTCAACCTGGCATTTACGCGTCTTTTAAATTCATGCATTATCGAGCGCACTTTATCGCGTGTCGTTCTTATCGACATCCGCAAAGTAAAAGAGCGGCCGGTTCAAGAAGCACCGTATTCGTGCGCGTTACATCTCATAGATAGACGATATATCCATCCTCTTTTAATATTTGCCTCACTCTTTTTCAGATACTTTCAACAGTATGAGGCAGAACATACTCAACTACTTCTGGAACATGTCTGACTTGACGGACATCAAGATCCCTGAAGGAGCGAACACTACTTCCACTACTAAGGTAAGCGATCGACAGGCGCGTTTCGCAAATTCGCGATCTCTCTCCTCCCGCCCCTCCCCCCATTTCTCCCTATCTCTCTCACTCTTTCCTTCTCGACCGAGTCGATCGAGCAAACGCGATCGACCATTCTTTCGCCTTTCACGAATTTCTCTCGTGTTCTTTTTTTAATTTGTAATTTCTTCAGGAAGATTCTTCAAAGTTTTAAGAGATCGGTGGATCGGCTTTAAGCGCGCAAAACATTGGTCCTTCGCGAAGAATGTAAAAGTTTCATCGCGTTCGCAGCAGACCGTGGTTTCATTGTTAATCGATAAAATTATCACGCCCTTCTCCTCCTATCTCACCGCCCAAAGCCCAAAGCCCGATCCCACTTCGCTTCTCAGGGCGCCGCCGCATCCGGCGCATCCGGATTTTGCGACTGCAGGTGCGATCGCTAGATCTCTCGAGCCGCTGGTTAATGACGTCATACCACAAAGAGCAAAGTAAAATAGTAATCCCGGCGACACGCGAGGAAACTCGCGCCGCCGGACGCGCGTCGCGCAGAGATAATGCATCGCCAGCAATTTACGTACACGTGTAAACCGCGACAACGCGAGGGTGAGAGAGCGAGACAAGGTAGGATCCCTTTAACAATGGGATGGCAACGCCAAGTGTACGCGGCGTCGCTGGTGATCGGATTACTGCATTTCCCGTCGCGTATTGTTACACGCTTGGAATCTGCGCGCCGCCATCTCTGATATGTAAGTCGCTTAACGCTTAAATGCGACTTGCGGCACAAAGCGCGACTAACGGAAGCGGATGACTGCCCGCCGAAAAGTTCCTTCTCTCTCCTTCTCCCTCCTTCTCTCTCTCTCTCTCTCTCTCTCTCTCTCTCTCTCTCTCTCTCTCTCTCCCCCCCCTTTTTCTCTCCTCTCTTCTCACCTCTCTCTATATTTCTCTATTTCTATCTCCCCTGGCCTTCTTTCTCGAACACGGCGCTATTCTCGCGTAAAATCCGCCGTTTGCACGCGACATTCTCCGCGCAAAATACAGTCGGGGACGAAGAGGGAAAAAGAGAGAAGAAGCGGAAAGTTTATTCTTTTTCTAGGACAATACACTTAAAATAATAACAATTTTTCCGGGGAACAGTGTCTTCTAGGCATAATAGATTTAAACATATCGGAATGATACAAAGGCGATTGAATGATATACGGATTTTATTCTTTCTCCCTCTCTCTCTCTCTCTCTCTCTCTCTCTCTCTCTCTCTCTCTTTTTTCCAGAAAAAATATATAAATATTGAATTAAACTGTCTTAGCTGTACGCTTTCACACATGCGAAAACGTTGTAGAAAGTAGTTATATGCATACTTTAAACGGAGCGGCTTTAATGTATAATACCGACTGTAGCGCTGTCAATTCACGTAACCTAACAGATGCAAATTCTTTGATAATGAAGGTGCATTAATTTTGATATGGTAATTTCCGGCCCGCATACGCAGCCTTATATCTTATATTATGGAAAGAATCACTAGAACGGCTCTTAAATTATTCATTCGATCTAATTTCAAAGAGAATAGAAGAAAAGGCTGAGATAGATTGTGTCGAAGAAATCCTCCATTAAAATTTTCACAATTTGAATTCACAATTTAATTTTAATAGTAATTTAATATCTTTTTAATGAACAGTGCTGAAGTAACACTTAACAATAAATAACTGAAAGTTTTATAACGATTAGGAAAGATTGGGTGCTACGACAGGTATTCGTGTCATCGGTATTTTGAAGATGACGTACTCCTTGAAAGAAGCAATATTTAATCTTTCTGAGCAAGGAGCTAGGGAATAAGAGGAACAATGCCCTCTTTTTTTTTCATAAATATACACGACACGCTACCTAGAGCGACCGATCGAGCTCGCGTCTAAATTATTATGCCCTACTTGCAGATTATTGACGGCCACGTGGTAACGATCAACGAGACGACGTACACGTCGGGCGACGAAAACGGTGGCACCGTGTTCCGCATCCGCACCATCGACGTGATGCCGCAGAACAACACACTACTGTTGGTCGACAGTGACGCGGACACAACACCGAAGACGGGCGTGTCGGAAAGCGCCGAGACGCTCGAGAACGAGATATCGCGGAACGGAGACGTTTTGACCGCTTAAAACACGAGAGAGAAGCGCAAGGAAGCGCTCGTGTCGGCGATACACATGTCCAGCAACGACCACGTGGACCACGTCGCGATCTTCAACGACCGTAGTGGAGTAACATGCCGCACGTAGCGCGACAGCGCGTAGCATTAAAGTAATAACAATATATTGTAATATATAGTTATGTTTTCTGTTTTCCGTTGTTTTTCTAAATCTTTTCGCGTATTGATACATTATCGTCGATCGGTTTACGACATTTACCCGCGTTGCTAGAAGCATAAAACAAAACATGTTCCTGAACATGTATAAATAATATATACACAGATATATATATATATATGTGTGTGTATGTATATATATATATATAAATAATATATACATCGAAAACACAGGGCTTGTGTGTGTGATTGGTTTTAATTAAATAAAAAAATTATTTTGTTTAATTCTGACTAAATGATTGAAAAATATTAATTGCTTGGGCATCAGAGTAGGATTTAATATCCAATATACATGTACATTCCGCGATAACAGGATGCGATATCAGTGAACTTTGATATTAGCGTCTGAAAGAGGTTCGATTGTAGCGATCTAGAAATAAAACGTCATGTCAAAGTTTTTGTGCCTTCTAGATTGCTTGCTTCCTGGCTTATTTACACAGATCTGCATATATCTGCAGATTTCGAAACGTCGTTAGTAAGTTTTACCAACTAGTTGTAACGATTGTGAAACTGGTATATACAACAAGTATGTATTAAATGTTACATGTACGAAAGAACGCTAACTTGTGTCTTATTCTCTCTTATGGTCGAACGCAACTCAAAGAAAGCGTCGATATACACGAAACCAAGTGCGTCATCATAGAGTTCGCTGTGGCAGAGAGTTATTATATTTATACAGAAGAGGCTGTTTTGTAATAATATCGAAACAACACTCAATTAATTGCATCGTTCGCCCGTCGCTCGTCAAGCGTAATATTTATTCGATCCTCGCGCGCAGGCAACCAACGAGGCAGATTCCTCATATAAACGTTCGTTACGTATCACACGAGACTAAAGTTGAATACGAGGTTGTAGACGACCAAACTCGCTGCTTACAGTCATACTACGACATCCTTTACCGTACATTTGTGCAACGACGTAGAGACTTTTGTCCTGCAAACGATTGCGTAGCTGATATTTAATAAACGTGCACCTCCTACGTGTATACTCGGGTATTCCATCCTCTCTCTCTCTCTCTCTCTCTCTATCTCTCTCTCTCTCTCTCTCTCTCTCTCTCTCTCTCTCTCTCTCTCTCTCTCTCTCTCTCTATCTCTATCTCTTTCAGTTTCTTCGACAATGGAGTCTTCGGCAAAGTACACAACGTTAGACAATATGCGTCAGTTATGCGATCAAGTATTTACGCGAGTAAACGTTCGTAAACGATTTACAAAGGCAGCGGCGGTTTCACGGAAAATTCTACTATTCGGCGGTTCCGTGGATCTTTTATATGTTTATAAAAAATATGTACGTTCCTCTCTTCATAGTGCTACGTTTCTGGATTTTAATATACTTACGCAGATCTGTATCTTTTATATAATGTAAGTCATATTGTATCGTAAGCTGGTTAGAGAAAAGTTGACATAATAAAATAATATTATTGATATGATTGTTATCTCGATAACAAATGCATAATCTCTTATGTGCACAATTCGCTTTCTGTCTTTGAATTGAGATGTCACGCGACAATCCCGCGAAATTTTTGCATCTGATAGTAGGCAATCACGGTCGGTAGAAAAGTTGAATAAAACGTTTTTCCTTAACGTAGATAGACGCACGTTTTACATTTAGAAAAGTAGCAGCTTTCTTTCGCTTCAACATATTTCCCTACAACGTATCTCACTAAATTAACTTCCAAAGCCGTGTTTAATTTTCATCTTCGTCGCGTTCAAAACCCACGTCTGCGCAAATTTCCGTTCGCTCCGATTAAATTAATTTTCGAAGACGTGTTAAAGTTTCATTTTCATTACGTTCAAAAGTCACGCGTTCGTAAATTCCAGCTCGCGCTAATTGCATTAATTTCACCATTTAACAAGCTTTCATCTTTAGAAATAATAAAGGTGGATAATTTTATACCCTTTGCACGGCTCTCCGATTTTAAGAGATGATAATAATTTAAGAGAGATTCTATTAAAAATAATAGCAACGTAACACTATGTTAAACGTTCCAAAAATATTTAATAAATTTTAAATGCAAAGTTTAGCGTGTTGTAGCTGGTACAAGTGAGAAAACGCGCTTTACGTGATCTGAAACCAGCGGAAAAGGAGTTAAAAATTTTACTCTGGTCACTGTGATTATATAATTGTATAATGTTGCCGCGAAAAACCTATTACATAAACCTAGACTAGTCACTAGTGGTAACAAGTTGCTTTCATCGCGTTGAAAAATGGCGCGGTCAGAAAAATTTGCGCTCGCTAAAGGCTACGCACCGCCACTGTCGCCTCACAGCTAATTTGTAACTCGAAGCTCATCGCATGCATAAGAATGCTGCTTCTATGACCCCCAAGTATACTCTACCACCTCACGTTTCCAATCGAATCGTTTGTGCCTGAAATGAAATAAATATATATCAGGTCATTATAGAGATCCAGATCAAGAAAACGGAAGGAAATCGAACGAGAACAGAAAAGGTGTGCAGGTGCAGCTGAAAAGAAAGAGTCAAGGTCCGTCTCTTTTCTCATTTAAACTATGTTGCATCTTTCTTTCGTAATTCGAAATGAGATTGAGAACAGAGCTGACAGAAATCTCTGGCGGAAGAAAGACGGCAAGAAAAATTTCGCGTAATAGAGGTACAGAAAGTGCAGTTACAGCGAGCAGATTTCTATATATATGTATGCTGGTCGCGCGCGCGAGCGCGAGCGAGCTGTCATGTGGGGTCATGCAGACGTGTCCGTCGCCTCTACAATCTGTTGACTCGACGAGCGCTGAACCGAGCGCTGCTGGTCCTTACGACGGTCGGAGTCCACGCGTGCACATGGTGAAGGTTGAGAGGATGCGATGCCAGCACGCAGACGGCACGTCCTAGGGCACGAGGTTGATCGCGAGTCTGTGACCACGAATACGGAAAACGACTCGCGACTGCAGCAACGGCTATATTGTCACGATGACGATGCGAGTGGCGGACTGTTGAGCGGAACCGTTTCGGATAAACAATCACGGGATACCAGTACGACGACGACGACGACGACAATGATGACGTCCCGTGACAGGACCAACGAGTTCATCAATGCGATCCGCTCGATGCAGAGCAGATCTGCCGCGCGGACCGCTGCCACCAGCGCGACTATGCAGAATCCTCGTCGAGCACGCCAGTTACAGACCTACTCGAACTTTATGATGACAGCCAAGAACATAGGCAAAAATATCACCAGCACGTACACCAAGCTGGAGAAGCTTGCCCTATGTAAGAATCCAAACATTGTATCGCTCGCTGTAAACTTGGTTCCAGTGATTCGCAACTGATCCTACTGGAGAGCATGATGTAAAGATGTCACAAACAGCTGATCTGAATCTTTGTTTCAAAAGAATTTGTACTTTGATTAGAATTTCATTTTTGCCACTTGAAACAACAGCTTTTATCTAGAAGAAGAACTGGAAACTTTTAAGAGAGCTGTGAGAAATATTGTGTGTACTAATTAGCGCTATATGTTGTAGTGGCCAAAAAGAAATCCATATTCAACGATAGGCAACTGGAAATTGAGGAGCTTACTAATATAATAAAAACGGATCTGAAAAGTCTGAATATTCAAATTGGAAAGCTACAAGAGCTCGGAAAATCCCAAAGAGAAGGCTTTGGATATTCTCAAAGCCACCATATCGCCTCACATTCTTCCTCGATCGTAATGGCACTGCAATCAAAGCTAGCAAATATGTCCAATAACTTCAAAAACGTTCTAGAAGTTCGGTCTGAGGTATCATTAAAGTATATATTTGAAGTATATTCGTTGTATATTTTCAAAGATTGAATATTGTAGTGTAATATTGATTAACCTATATTCTTCTATGGATCAGATATACAGTACTTGTACAATTATATAAATGATAATGCAAATTAGGCTTTGAACTAATGAGTCAATTATTGGATACAGAATATGAGAGAAGAGCAAAGTAGGAGACAACAATTTACTCAAGGATCACTGTCGACTATGCTGCCCCCGAGTGTTGTTTCGGGAAGACAGGGTTCTCTGTTATTACAAGAAGAGACAAATAATACAGTTGCGATAGACTTGGAGCCAGCAATGAATCATCAGTTGATGCAACAAGCTATGCAAGATGACACTGTAAGTGCGGCATATAGAAAATAATTGAAAACATAAAATAACAAATATATATACACATAACTGATTTTTAAAGGATGCCTATGTCCAATCGAGAGCTGAAACTATGCAAAACATAGAGTCCACTATAGTTGAGTTAGGTGGCATTTTCCAGCAACTGGCACATATGGTCCAAGAACAAGAGGAAATGGTCGAGAGGTAAACAAAATGTCTTCGTGCGAAAAGAACAGAGTGTTGTTTGAGGGAAATATTATGATATATTTAAGGCTTGACAGATGTAAAATGTTTATTAAATTATCGGATATTACAGGATAGATAGCAATATAGAGGATACCGAGTTGAACGTGGAAGCTGCACACACTGAAATTCTGAGGTACTTTCAGTCTGTGACGAACAATAGGTGGCTGATGATAAAGATATTTGCAGTTTTGATATTTTTCTTTGTATTTTTCGTAGTGTTCCTGGCATAACACTACCACGATAATTATTTATATCGTTACTTTTTATCATTCATATCCGCACTATTTGTGATAATAAGAAACAGTTGCGAAACAAAACGGCAATTTTTACGAAGTTACGACACGAATGAATAACGTAGACTAAACGAAAAGAATTTCGTGCATTCCTTATCCCTTTCCCTTCAATTGTGAATATTGTAAGTACTAATTAAGTGCGGCATTACTTGTACATCGCGACTTGCTGAAAATATAAGATGTATAAAAAGTGAAGATATTTCTATTAGATAAATGAATATATAATTTTTATGTTCGGAGGGGAGGGGGGAGGGGGACAAATAATTTAAGCGAATAACGTTTTACAACGAATATATAAGCACTCGAAATAAAAGCAAAAAAAACAAGGATTGTTGTCTTTCCCACCGTTCGTATTGTTATGATACATATGTACGAATTAGATATAACTTTAACTTTTTATCCAATTACTTTTCGTTGAAAATTACAAGAGCAACATATTTTTCTGCTCAAGTTAAAAAAATATAATTAAATCTGTGTGTCATAAAATCTCTTAATATAACACGTCCAATTATAATAAATTATAATTTATTTCATCTTTTTAAACCATATGTAACAACATTTTGCATTTTATTTAACATCGATTATAAGAACTTTATTACAATATTATATTTATACTAAAGTACAAGTCAAATATCTGATTCCTAGAATATGCACGTTATTACCAAAAATTTAGATATTTTTTTAACACGACTTGTAAATACTTTCCAATACCTTCTCTCTTTTATCCCTATGCAATTAAAATTAGCAATTAAAAGCTGAAATTGCATACAAGTCAAATTGTGTGTATAAACATTTTAACCATCTTTACAAATTGCCGCATGCGTTTCCACTTGTAAAGTAAAATTAATATTTCTCCTGAATAATGATGACCAAAAAAGAAAATATCTCATTTTAACAAAACTGTATGAAATGATTTATCGTATATAACACATCACAGATATAAAAATGTATAAACTGCATTAAAAGAATCGCTACGGTACCGATACATTTGTTCCTTTAGTATAACGTAACTTTGACATCATGATTAGATATTTATTTGAAACTCTTATACAATGCGAGGAGTCTGTCACTGTCACAGTGATAGATTTGGCCTTTGTACAAGTGTGTTGTATAGCAAGATACAAAAACCTAGACTTTCCCATGATGTGCCTTATCCAATGATTCTCCTGAAGAATGTAAGGAACCTGAAATGGATGTAAAATTAAGTATAGAACGCTCTTCTTCGACAATTTCTTAATTATACCGATGCATGCACAAGTAAAAGAAAAAAAAATATATATATATCTACGCTGCAATTTAGAATGCACGAATGATGCGATTGCTAAATTACATAAACATTATTCAAATAAAAGATTGCATAAAAATTGGCAAAAAGAAACGAAGAATTCATTCAGATAATTCATTTTTACTTAAAATCCGTGAAAAAACAGCCGGCTTGCCGAATATCAATGATGAAAGAGAGAAAGAAAGAAAGAAAGAAAGAAAAAAAGAAAGAAAAAAAAACGTTATGCTCGCGCAGCATTAGCATAAATTAAAATCGATGATTGTAAGCTCATTAACCTGGGCACGGTATCTATTTGGAGTTACCCCCTTCCATGGTACTCCAAAACTGTCTCACTTTAGAGAAACGTTTGCGTCCTTGCATGCACAAAAAAAACGGGACAGATGATAATAATAACAAAAATATACGGAAAGTCTCGCAAGAACGGTAGAAAGAGCCAGGCAGGCAGGATCCAACGAATGTATTGCAAATATCGATGATATTCGAATGCGTGTGTCTTCTCGTAGTGTCGTCACAACAAAGGTTTCCACAAACCTTTATGATTGCGCGTACGTTGCTCTCGCTGATGAGGATGGAAACCAGAACCGCGTAAGAACGGCGATGATTCCTCCGCCCATGCATGCGCCGTACCGATGGGTGGAGGTACTATCGAGCCGGGTGGAGGAGGAGGTGGGATATGATCGCCACCGAACGGTGGTGGTGGCGGTGGCGATCTGTGACGGTTGAACGGTGGAAGTAAATGCGGAGACATCGGAGGTGGCGGAGAACTCGCGTTCTCGTATCTACCCCCGGGAGCGGGAGGATGTATCGGTGGCATCGGCGGCGGCGGTGACGATAACCTGCCGCCTAGAGGCGGAGGACGCTGACTGAGACTGTCATATTGGGACGTACGCACGTAACCAGAAGCGAGAGGTAGCACGGGCGGTAGATGCGCCGGGAAACAATGTAGATAGGAAGGCGGCGGTGGCGGTGGGACGCCTGAGCTAAACATTATGGGAGAACTGGACGATTCTGCTCCTATGAATAACGGTGAGGTTGCCGTTTCCCCGTTCGCCTCCAGGCCTGTTTGGAAATCAGTTTAAGAAAAGATAGAGAATCCGAAGGCAGAGTCGCGTGACACATGTATTATCCACTGGATGAACCCACGGATGAACTTGAACAATCTCTGAAGCACTTAACGTAGCTAATTAACGTAGCGTTAAGACGCTAGACCACGCTTCAACCATCATTCACTAAGAGTACGCACAACTACTAGTCTTGCTCTATGAAGACTGCAACATTGCTACGTATTACAGGTTTCTACGAGATTTTATGATAAATTTTTTTATTACTCGCTTACGAAGTCATGTGTACACACGACGATATACACACATCTCTATGTAGAAAGAGAGTGGATTATTAATGTAACATGGATATGACTCCGATTCCGATTGAGACTACTAAGAATCGCTTTCAGATGTTCGTTACGAGTATCGAACTATTCGCTAAATACATCGATAATATTTTATAATGGAAATACTTACGATGTAACTTTGTCTCGGAATCGCTGTCGTTTAAGTTCTTCTCTACGAGCGTGAGTCGATTGCGTAATTGGCCAGCTTCGGCTCTCATCTCTTCCATACGACGTTCATTTTGACGAGCAATGACCTTATGAAATAAAAAGCATTTCATGAATTCTAGCGGCGGTAACGTGCAAATAAAACATAGATTCGATGATTATCTATAATATATACAGGGTGGGTGATTATAAGTTGCCAACCCGAAATGTGAAGGTAGATTGAGTTAAGACAAACATAAAAGTCCCATACTGTTTTGCGAGATTCGCAATAATTATCGAGTTATTAATGACAGAAATCTGAGGAGTGGGAGCGCACCGGCATAGATGACTGGAGAAGCGTTGCAGCTGCTTAGGCCGCAGCGCGCAGGCCGCAGTTGATCCAGAAACTGTCGCCGGTGCGCGGCGAGGGGAAAGACAATGCGCTGCTATTCGTTGTTTTATCTCGTCGGACCTACGTCTCGCCGCACGCCGCCAACAGTTGCTGGGTCGAGTGGGTCGCGCTGTGGCCTGAGAGTAGCTGCAACGCTTCTCCCAATCATCTATGTCGGCGCGCTCCCATTCTTCAGATTTCTTTCATTCTATATTCATAATAACTCGATAATTATTGCGAATCTCGCAAAACGGTATAGGACTTTTATGTTTATCTTAACCCAATCTATCTTCACATTTCGGGTTGGCAACTTATAATCACCCACCCTGTATATATATATATATATATACATACCCATTGTTCGTGTGATTTCGTCTCCAGAGCAGATATTTGATTTTTGTATTCTCTCTCCTGATCCACTATCTCCCGTTTTAACATTTCTGTTTGTTGTCTGAAGTACAATTGTAATAAATTAAGTATATCTTATAATTATATATAAAAAAGTAAAAATAATATTTAACTGCTTTTAAATAACACGAGTTTAAATTAAATGACACGAATTTCCATAAATTAGATTGTGCTTAGACTGTTAAATCACTTTGTTAAAATGATGTCCTTACTTATAATTCTGTATCTCATTCTGCATTGTATGTATCCTCTCTACCGTCGATACAACTTCACCTTGTTTTTGCAACCAAATGGCTTCTTCCCTGAAATTATTATAATATTAATACGACTGGACACTGGAACGCGAGAACGGGTGAACGCGAGGTCCTTATTAAAATTAGCTGTCGCATACTTCTGACGTTCGGCTTCTTTTTCCTTGAAGAATTTAGACAACACTTCAAGTCGCGTCTCTGCATCCTTTTTCTCTTTCTCGGCCATTTTACACTGTTCACTTAATCCAGCGATTTCTTCTTTAACCAGCTTCATATGCTCTACGGTACGGAAGTGTTACATAAAAAATTTAATTAAAAAAAGAAAAAGAAATATATCAGGCAATTTTTCAACAAAATATCATCTTCAAACAAATACCTTCCAACAGCTGATGAGCACCCTCGACATCGCTTAATCGCATTTTTAATTCGTTTCTCTCCTCGCGTAATTGTGCCGCTTCCGTTTTAACACGAGATACCTCGTATAATTTTTCCAAATCCAAGCTGTTCGAATTGATCTGATTGATAACTTCTACAAGCTCATTCACTTCTATCTCCTTGCCTCTCAATTCTTTATATAGTGCCGATTTCTCAGTAGATAACTGAAAAAGGACACACATATAATTCAATAACTATATTATATCATGAAATTATTAGTTATTAAACATATTAAATTATAAATAATATCTATATCATCATATAATTGTAGACTTACTTCGTTCACTTGCATTTCCAAAGAATGTATCTTATCAGTTAATGTTTCCTCTATGTTATTCTTAAAATTTCTCTGAATATCTAGCTCATGCTGTACGCGCGACAATTCTACTTCATATTCTTCACATTTCTTTTTAGCAGTTGCAAGATCCGCTGATAAAGTCTCAATCTGTAATAAAATGTGAAACTGTCTTGTACAATTTTGTAGAAACTTTCCCATCTCAAGTGAGCTGACCAAGTAATATGAGAAGCGACGTACTACTAAACATAATATATATTTCCGAGACATTACCGAGAGACTGTATATTATGTATGCACATAAGACAAATATTAACGAACCTCAAGCTTGTCAAATTCGTGCTGCATCACAGAAAATAAGAAAAGTGAATAATTTTCTACTTGAAAAATCAAACTATGACGGAAATTAAATTACAAATAATATATATATAAATTCAAAATAGGCTGTTCTTACCTCTTGAGACTTAAGATTCAATGCATTTGTTAAAGATTCGTTCGCGATTTGTTGAGCGTCTAATCGTGCTTGCAAACCCTCCACTGATTGAGCTAAAGGATTAACTTCATTGTTCGATGATAAAAATTCCCTTAACATACGCTCCAGTTCCAACCCAGCCTCAGTTGCACTTTCTAAATCCTTTTCCAGCATAACTACTTGATCCTCCAATTCTGCTTTTGTATTCTACAACAAAAAATGTAGGATATACGACCTCCAATTCGACACAGATTCAATAAGAAATAAATATACACACACCTGTGCTGCTTCTAAATCAGCTTTTAGCGATACAACCATTTCGTTAGAACCAAATGATTCATCTTCTATGCAGCGTAACTAAAATATTTACATCTTAATAAAATGAAACATATATTCGGGTACGGGGATAACAGAAAGGAAAATATATATGAAATAATAATATCTGCAGGTATCGCCTCACCTTTTCCTTGGTAGACTTTAGGTTCTCATTGAGTACTTCGCACTCTTTAGTCGAGACCAATAGCTCTTTCTCGAGTTTATTAATTTTCGCTATAAGTTGACCATCTCTTCTTATATTCTAGATGCAAATATATATCTTATATTTTATTCAACGATACTCGTTATTGATAAAATACTTTAAATGTTATTTAATTCTTATTAAAAATAAGTTTTATGTAAATTATATCTCGTATTTCGTAAGCAGAGAAAAATGATATATTTTTACCTCAATATAATAATATCCGAGAGTAAATACAAGTGTTGTTAAAGCTGTTACCATTAGATATATCAATGTTTTCCAATAATTATGATCTATTGTTATTGCATCGAACATATAATCTTCTTCACTTTCTGCTTTCTGTCGACAAAATTAATACACATATATAATAAAACTTATTCCGTATAAAGCGAGCATCTCCCACGCGCGACAAGCATGCCGACGGAAACGACGATCGCTATCGGGCGGCATTATCTCTTGACAGCCACCGCGGGGTGACGACACCCATATTCAGTGAACAACGAGAATGGTACCCTCAGCGCTACCACTGGAAATCGCTGTATTTCTTTCGAATCCGTTTGCGACGAGTTGGAACGGTTCAATGGTTTCACGTTCATCATTACTTTACCCAGTGACCGATTTCTTTTTTTTTTCAAACTATCGAATGTAATCAACCAATAGCTCATGTGCACACAGAACATATTGAGTAGTAGGATCGATACCGTCTTGTAAACTATATATATATATATATATATATATATATAAATTTAGTTAATAGACGTAAGAAAATTGACGAATCGGAAGGTATAGTGCAACGGCACGATCGTCTCTTAGTAGCAATCAGCAGTATATCGGATGACAGCGAAAGGCAGAGAGAAAAGAGAGGCGAGCGACATGTAGACAATCTTTTTTCAAAGCAATCCGGGCCTCTTCTTCATTCGCTCTGCAGAGCGAAGGATCGATTTCCATCTCGTACCTAACAGAATCAAGCAAACGATTATCGTAAATAATTCTCTGTTCACTTACTTCCAATGACTCTGCAGTATCTTCGATGATATCTTCGGTTGCACATTCATGATCAAGTGAGCAAACGTTATCTAAAGTCATTGTAAGAAGATGATATATTTATACAGATTAAAATAATTATTAAATATTAGTAGAATAGTATATACCTTCTATTCCGTGCAAAGTAGACGTTGATTCTGACTCATGCGTCTGCTCGCTATTTCTCGTGATATCTTCAACTTTAGGCAAAATTTTGTCCTTACTGCTTATGTGATTACCATGTTCAAGTAAGGTTTTATCGTCGCCTTTTGCAAAACTATGAATTTGATTTTCAACTAAACACACAAGACATCTAAGTTTAGGTATAATTAATATAAATATTAATACACAGTACATTTTGTAACGCACAAAAACTTTTATATACTGACAAACCAATACCCACCGTTCTTATGTTCAAAATCTTTGTTGCTCGCCAAATTTCGATTACCGAGATATTCGTCAGGGGTCCACTTCTTTTCTGAGATCATGTTCTTTTGACTAGAATCTGCAGATTGTTTCGGACCGACGACACTGGATTCTATACCGTTAGAGAATTCGTCAGACTCTACAGGAACATTGCCGGAACTAGCATCGTACACTAAATGATCATTTTTATTTACATTACTATGTACAATAGATTTTGCATTAAGCTGGACATCTGCAGCATCGCGATTTAATATGTCGTCAATAATTACTGTACTTTTCCCGACAGTTGAATTATCAAGAGACGCTTCTTTAATAATATCTTTGCGAATTTCAACGGAATTTTCAACGGTAGACGGTAAATTACTAGTCTCTGAAGTTTCATTGACAGCTGTTACTTCACCAACTTGGGCGACAGTGTCTCCGTGAACGTCCTTCTTTGTAACTTCTAAAGATGCTTTAGCACTCTCTGGTGATGTCTGCTCAATATCGTCATTGCTTTGAGCAGTAATACTAACTGTAGTTTCTTGCACTTCAGGTGAAACTGTTGATCCTTCTCCAAGAGAAGCGATTACCTCTTCAGTCTCAATATTTTCTATAACTTTTTCTTCCTCGCTTGTTTCCTGCATTTTGACATTTTCAGCATGACTATTAACATCGGCTTCATTAAAAGTAGGGCTATTATCCGCTAAAACAGAGGATGCTATTGACAACTTTTCGGCAGACTTATAAGCATCTTCACGTACAAAATTATTGGATAAAGGCACGTCACGAGATGCAGTATCTTCCAGACGAACTGCGATTGTTTCTTCCTCCAACTTTACTTTCTCATCTGAAATTCTCGTACCCCGAATACTCTCGTCTATAACTTTTTGCTGTATTTCTATGTCACGTTTACTTGTAATGCCTGAATCTACATCTAGTGATGCTTCAGTAGCTGGGATATTTTCTTCGACTATAGTTTTACTCTCAATAATAACTTCAGAAGTAGACACGTCATTGGCATTCGGACTAGTGGTGGTACCTTCTGTGGTTGCAGTTTCTAGGGAATCAGATAAAATGTTAAACTTTCTTGCAAATGAGGCAAATATGCCCTCATCTTCAATAGTTTCAGTGAGTTCTTCCTTCTTATATTCTGCAATCTTCTCAGCACTGTTATCCATTAATTTCCCTTCACTAGATCTTTCTAGATCTTTAGACAGTTGATCTTTAGATTTACCACTTACATCATGCGATAAGGTATCATCCTCGCCCACTGTATCTACAACTGGACTGATTACTTCCGAATTTCCTAACAGTGTCTTGGTGTTAATTTCTTCAGAAATATCTACCGATAATTTGATTTCTTCTGGTTGACTCTTGGCATCAGTTATATCATGTTGTTTTTCTTTTTTGTTCATAGATACGGTCTTATCATCATTGTTGTCAGAATCTGTTTTAAGATTGGTAGGAGGAAGTGAAACTTGTTCATTTGGCAATACAGTAGCATGCATTGCTTCAGTTGACTTTTGTTGCACAGATGGTTTACTCTCAAAATAAAATGTAGTACCATCTATCACTTCATAAGAAGGTGAAATACTATCTACATTAATTGCTTCAAATTCTGCTACAGTTTTATCTAATGACTGCGCCGACAGTGCCTCACTGTTGTCACTGTAAGATAAATTATCTTCTACAGAAGAGTGTATCTCCTCTGTAGATTCAAGTCTCTTACTTTCAACATTTTTCTCCTGTACACTTTTATCTAGAGACTTTGCCGAAGGAGACAGTGTCTCATTGATATCACGAGGCAACTTATCTTTCAAAAGAGGATGTATTTTATGTACTTTTTCAGCTTTGGTTAGAACTTTGTCCTTGGTTTCATCAGTAAATTTGTAAACAGGCACTTCATGCAACAAGATACGTTGTAGGACTTTATATTCATTTAAAAATGTTTTAGGTGCAAATCCACGTTTGCCTTTTATCTAAAAAAAATTAAAACATATGGAGATTGTGTTCTTAGAATCAAATCACAAGTATCGGTCTAAATCATAACGATACATATTAACAGAAGAATAAATATATAAAAGTACTAGTCACAATAAGCAGAATAATATAATAAATATTCAATCAAGGAGATAATAAAATATACCTCGACACCCCATAAATCGATCCGCTTTCCAGCTCCTTTGCTGAAAACTTTGACATCTTCGTTGATGCCAAATGACATTACTTCACGGTCATTTGCTCTGTAAGCAAGTATCGTCTTGGCCAAAGATATCACTTCTAAATAAAAAAAAAAAAGAGCAATATAATATAAATACAATATATATTATTGCAAGCGTGCAGATGCGCGACAAAAATGTGTTGTGGGTTTTAAAGCTAAGGTATATATACGGCTTCAATTACCGGAGCAATTGGGGTCGTAACATAATTGTTTGTCGGATAGGGCAGCTAAGGATTGCGATATCAGACAGGACACTATTGCAACGAGTATAAATAATGTATTCGTAAGCGGGCTTATTTTCGTCATATTTTTACTATTGCAAACTTCCACATCACTACCGATCACTACAAGCACACCACACTGACACTGCTTTCTCAGACGCACATTACAACCACGAATCACCGGATTCGAGATGTACAAACGACGAGTTAGTTGGTTATATATGTGTCTATTGGATGGCCAAGGCCCACAGACATGAACCCCAATATGTTGGAATCTTTTCTATTTCAGGCTAGAAAATTTTAATTTCTACTTGATAAGTAAATGGAGAGAGATTAATTTGATTCGTTGTTCAATTGTACTATTGAATAATAAAAGATTCATTTAATTGGATATTGACCAATAACTAACTAGTTAAAAATAAGACTTTTGACCATGTTAGGACATGGTAATGATAAAAAATAAGTTTCTCGACTTGACATTAAGTTGTACTTGTTGAAAATAAAAAGTTTGTTTTTTAATTCGCCATTAAAAAATACGAAGTAAAAGTAAAAAATTGTCTGACTTGTTGTTCAATGTACCACATGAAAATGTAAAGTTCGACCGCTCTATCGTTGAGTCGTACTACGGCGACCTCAACTTTTCACTAGGCAGTGGCGGGTCATAACGGAAGTTTCAGAATTATTATCGAAGTATATCGCATCGGTATAACATCACACACATACGCATACATACATACACATATGTGTATGTGTGTGCAACAGCAAAACTTTGTTTCTATATGATCAAACCCAATATTTTTTAAATTATATTAAAAAGATATATGAGGTATATAATCTATGGATATCTCTCGAATAAATTCGATTGTATCGTACGAACACGTATTGAATAATTATAAAATATAATTATTACAGCATTTTCACCTCAACTTTAAAGCACATCAACTATCAGTTAAAGTATATCCTTAAAATTCATTTCCAGATTTTTTCCAGAATTTTAATGAAAATTCTGAATTTGTGGGGCAGATGAATAAAAAGTTGTATAATTATAGAAAGAATTTAATATTATTTTGGAGTTTAACATATATATTTCATTCTACATGACTAGATTATAAAAGCAATTTAAAAAAATTCATGAATTTAACAATATTAAATATTACGCATCACAAATAATATATCGATACATTAAAATTTTATAATGCAAGTGCGCACTCTTACCTAAGTTTACAAAAAAAGCTTCAATTCATTTTATCCTTACACATATACAAAAATATTCAAGCCTTAATATGATGAAGTATTAAAGAATTTTCATAATAATCTGATATTAAATGTAATAGATGCTGGAGAAAGATCAAGAGACGGCGAAATTTAAGTGTCTTATCTTATGCAAATTCCTTCACAATTATTTAATTTTTCCCATGCCTTTATAATGCGTGAAGTATACTTATTTTCATATTTATATTTCTTGAATTTTATTTTACGCGTATTAAGAAACACATAGCGAGAAACTGCAACAATTTATTGAAATATACTCTGAACAACATAACGCAGAGTATTATTTAAGAAAACATGTAAAAGAAAGAAGTGACTAATTCTTAAAACATACATGTATAGCCGTAAATACTGGAAAATATACAAAGAGAACGATAATTTCTTTTCTTCGATCGATTACTTGCTATATAATAAGAGATACATTATGAACATATGTGTTTAAGTATTTAGTTATTTAATTATACATATTTCCATTATTCTCCCTGTGACATTTTTATTCAAATTTAAAAGAAGAAAACGATAATTCGCAAAGAATAATATCGTGGAACATGAATTTACTGCACAAATTTATATAAAAAAATAATTACTATATAACTAATTCTAACAAGTATATTCGATATTTTTTATAAAATTAGTCTTTTGCATGTGACTCTCTCTCTCTCTCTCTCTCTCTCTCTCTCTCTCTCTCTCTCTCTCTCTCTCTCTCTCTCTCTCTCCCTCTCTCTGTGTGCGAATTCCAATATTTTCAGCTCCACGACTTTAACATCAAGTGTGTACAAACGCACTGCATAACACTACACATTACACTAGACATTCTTTCTATCGTGAAAAATAAGATTATACGCGACTCCAAAATTTAGGAAATATGTATATATTATAAGCATACGTTCGTCGCATGTCTAATTTTGTGCAATAATGCTTTACAATTGACTACTACAGCAGCGATTATAAACTTTATAAATTCTTTATATATTCTTATCGGAAATTGCAAGTATAGTAAACGCTAATTACATACTATTATTATGCCAATATCTCTAATGCCTTATACACACACTAGTGTCTCAGACATCGCAAAGTTGCTCTCGACTTTAGATTCTTTGGCGACTTGGAGTATAATTCTGATGTTGTTTCCTTTATGATGTGCGCAGTTTTTCAATCTTCAACGTTAGATATTCTGGTAGTTGAGTCAGTGAAATAAAAATTCCAAAACGCTCCAAAATCCAAAATCCTGTGACCTTCAATTATGTATAACTCAACAACTATTAATGCTTCGGCGGTGAAACAGATCTATTTGATTTGATTTATATATAACTTGACATCTAGTGTCTATAGTCGGCATAAAATGCCCGAGACATTTCATATCTAAGGATTCTTTCAACTGTTCCCTCGAAAAGAACGTAAGATTTTACTATGTAATAGATGTCATGGTTCTGTAATCCTTCCCTGTTTTACTGAAACGCTGTATCCATACTGTAATTACGAACTATGTGAAATCGTTAATTACACACTTAAAACATCCGTACCACTTGAAATTAGAAATAAGGTCGAATAATTCTACTTTATATTACATAAATTATGTGTTATATAAGAATATATGAATCATCGTAATTATAACAACTTTTCTTTGTAAACATCCAAACTTTTTCCTACACTACTATTTGATTGCGATGGAGTAGGGAAAAGAAAATAGTTTAATAAAATCAGCGATTAAATTCTACGCGTGAATTAGGTGTGAATAAAGATTACGATAGTTATTGCACAGTATGTGAGAAGCGCTTTTAACAAGAAATAAGAGATAAGCAATGCAGACGGCAATCTTTACATTCGTATATTAAGGTAATTATATGTATGTATGTGTATGTGTTTGCGCGTGCGTGTATCAATGTTAACAATTTTTTTATTTTAGCACGCTCATATGTATCTACAATTGCGAGCGATCACGCAGAATAACATAATTCGCGTACACATGCGCGGAGATGTGAGAGATTACATTTTGCTAAATGTGCATTATCACAATGCGTTAAGTGCAATCAAAAATATTAGGTATATATGATGATGTATAATAAACATTAATCAACCAAAAAAGAAAAGATGATAAGTACCATTGCCACACGATTAGAATGGTTTCATGTTATTAAAATAGATCTGCAATGCTTTCGAAACACAAAGTACGAAAAGATTAAGTAATGGAATTTCTACTCTGTCATTAAATCCCTAAATTAAATATCTTGCAATTATCAATTTATCATAGTCCGCATTACATATTCTCTTCTAAGTACAACGAGTCTCTGTGCAATAACTGAGAAAATGATAGAAACTGGATTAACCCTTTGCATTCTCGAGTTGCTTGGTGCATTTCTCATTGGTCTCATTATTTTCGCGCGAGCAATAACGTTTTTACAAATAAATTCTTGCATACTACTAAAATATAATACCTTTAGGCATCTAATTGAAGACGAAGAGAAACCAATAAAAACTGACGCAAGATAAATTGCGAAATTCACTCTATAAATAGAACAAGAAGCGGGATATCAAAAGTGGGATCCGTCCAAAACTTTGACAATAGATAATTCTTAAAGGAACTCACTTGATAATCTGTCTCTCTTATTTCATTTATATAGAGTATGTGAATAGGTTTCACAATTTATATCTTGCAACAACTCCTATTGACTTTTCCTCACATCCGATATATTATACATCTGATATAACTTTGATAATTTATTTATTTTCAAACAATTTATTACCAAATCACGGTAAAACAGCAAAGGGTTAAACTCGCATATCAGATTCGTATATCGAGCTAACGTCATTTGTAGAGTCCATACAGTCTTTGTAAATATAGCGTATTATTAGATTACTCTCAAGAAAATTCAGAAAATAGACATTTACTATATATCTTTTTGTATGATTCATATTGTATAATACTAGAACGAAAGTCGATGAGCAAAAAGGTGAATACGGTGAAGCTAGCACAAACCTTTGTAGATTATTATTAAAATAGAACGATGATGAATGAGCGTTTCACTTTATACACGGCATTAATGTAGATCACATCAATTCCTACCAAGCTACAAAATTGGAATTATACTTCTATCTACTGGTTTAACACCAAACTATCTGCGTAACTTATCAATCGTCTTCTAAATCTCACGGATTATTAACATCAATTGAACTCTTATTTCACTTTAAATATATGTGGTTCTTATAGAAACCAACAAGTAAAGGCAACATTTTTAAAATCTTTTTCCTTATGAAATTAGATTCTATAAGAGCTTTCATAAAGTCGAGACGAATATCTTTCATACGAGTACTTTTTTCTTTCTTTTTACAAATCAAACGATATATCGATCGATCATCAATCGATCACCATTCCCGAGATTGGAGACGAGACAATCACCTCGTTGGATCGATACCTTATTACATCAAAATGCAACGAAATTTACACTTCTTACCGAGGAAACATCAGTAATATGGTGTGTAGTAATCTAGTATTGCTTTGCTAAATAGGAAAAATACCCGCGTGTAACATATCATAGACTTATTACAAGATCAATAATGTTAAACCGCAATAACGAATTCGTCCGAGAAAAACGTTACATATAAAAACGAGAAAATTTAAATGTGCCTTCAAAAATATATATTGGACTTTACCAAAACGTTTTTATCCCCAGAGATTTTAGCGCGACAAAAATTGAGAATTTTTATTATTAGTAAATTATTAACGCGATATCTACATTTCACATTTCGCATAAATACATTACGAAGAACGTTACCCTGACGTTTATGACGACCAACAATTCGACGAAAGGCACAACATATATAACCGTAACAAGAAGTAATTGTAAAATGGCACAGACTCGTCTCTATCGTTAAGCGCAATAAATTAAAAAGGCAATATAGACGTACTCTTACAACAACTAACACAAGAGCGATCAAGATTCTTGAACGACTTAAATTATGCGAGTATAGTCCAAAGGAGGATAGAAAAGACATCGATCAATTCCATATTTACGAGAAACAAGTGAATTTGTAAAATTCCTGCAATATCAGATATATTGTTTGTGGAACAAACAACCACTACCACCTCGTTGATTCAAACGTATATATACTATCAGAGACGAAACAGATTATCCATCCACACTGGGAACTCGTTGTTTAACTGTATCCGAACTGGACCTTGCGGCATTGGCAAAGCCATTTGATGATACGTGCATTTCGCTCGACGATACTCGGCGGATCGTTTACCCTTTGGTTACATTCATCGTTACCCATGCCGATGCTGCAGTTATTGTTCTGCCACTGACCGCCCTGACTTGTCTGATTATTACCTACCCACGAGTAAAGACCCAGTGCCGAGTCTACGGAGCTGACGCTGTCAAAGAACACGGGCGACGATGACTTCGAGTCGGGTTCCGTGATGCGTTGGTAGTTGTCAGAATCCAGCCCTAAACGGTCGAAAAAGTTCTCGAGCTGGGTGACCGATCGCGGCGGTCGGGAGGACAATTTGCTGGAACGGCCGTTATCCTGACGCCAATATCGGTCGCTGATGTCGGACTTTGATCTCAAGATCGGTCGACCGCGACCTTCTTTCCAACCGTCCGAAAACCTAACAATTGCAATCACAAGTTGTATATTATAACGAGAAACATATATCATCGTATCATATTGCCAATAATTTATCACACACGCATTATCATATATTATCATATCATCAAGTTATTGCATCAACTGACAGATGATGTAGAGACGGACTTGATATTCTCATTCTGAATTGTCTCACATGGACAGAATTATTGTCTCGGTAAACACCAATATTATAATTTCTCACTCAAACTGGGACATAATTGAAAAAGAAGAAGGAACGTCTGCAGTACCTCGAGTTACAAGTTGGACTGTAATCCGTCTGACTGTTGCTGCTCTCAGAATCCGGACTGTAGTGTCTCACAACGGACGGCGGCGTGCCGCCGACATAGCTGCCTTTTCTCGACCGATCCTTCTCTGTGGAATGTTGCGTGGACGCGCCACTATCTCTACGTATGTGACTCCAACAATCCTGAGAGAAACAGACATTTACGAAGTCAGAACCTAGAGAGAACCGCCCGGGTCTTTAACACCCGTACACTCTTGTCTAACCTAGGAGTCAGCTATCTTGTACCTGTATCCTAGGTGCTGGTTCGCTACGGTGCGTGCAATGCCCGGAGGAACCACCAGAGTCCCTCGCTGTCGCACCGTGACTCAATTTACTGGAACCCGACGACTTTTGTGTCCGTCCACCGGAGGATAACACACTGCTCGCATCGCCGCCACCGGATCCCAAGGATCGCCTAATGTGTCGGGAACTGAAATCGATTCACAACGCTGATTATTCATGGGGAGGGGGGAGGGGGGAGGTTCTCTCTCGCTGCTCTTTGCCGCGTCGTCGTGTTAAAAGTTCGCACTGCACTGCGCAATGTGAACGTGGCAATTCGCGCCAGTGCTGAAAATCAAGGACACGCCTTACCTGCGGTAACAAACGGCGTCACGCTTAAAACTGCGATCCGAATAATCTGAACTAGTTTCGCAGTCTGGGCAATTATTCGCAGCTTGATGGTGACCAGACTGCTTCGTGGGTAATTTCGTGGACGCGCGCGGCGAAAGTGACGCCCGGCGACGCGTGCTCGTGTGCAGATCGGGCAAGGACTTGTGGCATATCGTGTTCTCCACCGACTGCGAGCTGTTTGATTTCCTACCGGATCTCCCGGATGTATGCGAGTGCGAATTGCTTCTGCCGAACTTGAAGCGAACATCCTGCGGCGCGCAATGCTGCGGAACAAATAATACAACGGTACCGTCACAATGTGACGTTTAATAATGTGAAGGGAAGCGCGGCGCATGTATGTGTGTGTGTGTGTGTTTTTCTTGATAAAAATATAAAAACTGAAAAACGGCGCGTATATCGTGCGCATTCGTGATACGATTTTAAACATCGTTCGTCGATGATAATAATCCCGCCGTGCATGCGTATAATGCGCATAATGTGAGAGAGACAAGGAACTTGAATTGCACGAATGTCCGAAATATGAGATCACGCTACACACTTACCGTCGACATTATCATCACTCAGGTATATAAGATGCCGGGATCTTTCGTACTTCTTAACTTTATTTACTTCGGCAAAGTACAAACACGACTTTGCGAAAGATAAGCGATGGTGGCATTACGACGCGGGGCAGAGGTCGATATCGACGAGATTTCCTTACCAGCACACGATCCTCGTCTCGGCAGCCGGGCGAGAGACTTCCGGGCGAGTATCGGAATTTCTCTTCCCGCGGTACGCCGTTAGTTTGCGCCGTGGTTTGCGTCGGGTTATCCGGAAAGAATACATTCTCTTTGCTGTCGGTATTCAATAGCCGGCGCAGCTTCGTTTGCAACTGGTCGCCCCCGGTACCGCTCGGGGGCCCTGAAATTGTCCGCCTTTGGGGAACCGGAACCAAACGCGGACTTTTCGGTGGCAGCGCGGGTGGCAGTGTTTGTTGAGGGCTCAGGATCCCGTCTACTGCAAAACAAACAACGACAACTTTACCATTGTACGCTACTTCACTTGCACACAGAGAGATGTGGTTGGTATATGTATGTAATTCACGATGAGTAAATTGATTGATAAAAAGAGAAACAAAAATCGCGCGGCACTGGGGCAAAAGCGTCCACCTAAATAACGCGATATATCATCATCATTGCGAAAGCTCGATATTTTTCTTCATTCACTCACTTTGAAAATCGTTAAACAAACACGATATTGACGGTCGGTTCTCTTTCGAGCGACTCGTTGAAAGAGAAAGGGTTTAAAATCCCGGGCCGGGCGTCTCTCGGAGCAAAGACTCTCCACAGCTACAATCCTTTACGACTGGATTCGGGCGTGTAGTCCGGGGTTAACTATGTCGCGAGATCGCGCGCTTGGCATCCCCTAAGGGCTTAAGGGCTCTCTCGCGTTACGTGGGCGACTTACGTCTATCCTGTTCGTGACACGAGGCCCAGCAGCAGGGCGGCGTTAAGGGGGTTGGCATCTGCGACGGCGATGTCGGCTGCATAGAGCAGGTAGACGAGTTGCCGGCGCATTTCCGTAACAATCTGGGTGGCGCGCCCGGTGCGCTCAGCTGCGAGACCTGTAGGTGGCCGCTGTTCTTCAGCTCTTGCTTCCGATCCAACACGGTCTCGCTCTTCACGTAAAAGGCTTTCGTCTCCTGCAGCAGCTCGACGGCGCTCTTCCGCTTCCCTGCGACACACGCGAAAAAAAAAAAAGGCGGAACCGCCGTAAATAAACCGCCGCTTCCTGAAAGGAAATACCACTTCTAACCAGATTTCCGACAGAACAGACAGATCCCTCTCTTTCTTTACCCGATATCTGTCGGGTTAACGTCACGCGCGTGACGACGCGTAACACGAGGCTCCGCAGTGAACTCATTCGGATTACCGCGGCCCGCCCGCCCGGCTGGCTTTTTAGAATATTAGCTCTCTCGGCCAGAGCCTTTGATCTCATATTTATAGTGAGTTTAGTGGGTGTGCCGGAAGTGTCGCGTTTCTTTTTCTTTAATTGAGGACGCCTCGGCGGCTTAGGGCGAACCCGATTTTCCTCTTCATCCATTCCAATCTGTCATCCAGTTATAGCGAGTCGTTATCGCGGTACTTTAATCTTGTCTGCGTTTATTTACGATTTAGAAGCATCGCGCGCAAGTTTTCGAGACACTCGCGCAGAAATATAAGATCGATTAGAGCGACGCGGCGGTGAAAGTAAAATTCATTGTTCCGAGAATAATTGCCGGTAGAAAATATAGCTGTTTAATATTCAATTCGAGGCAATTCGAGCCGAGAAACACGGTGAAGTGTTAATGTGAGATGCGCTGGATGATGGTTATTGCATAGGCGTAAGAGGATCTTGCCGCCAATTAGAACGCTTTCGTACAATCTTACTTATACTAATTGGCAATTTGATGAAATCACATTCCGCGTAACTCCCCGTAAACCGGATACTCTCTCGATATGTACGGGCTCAATCTCGACGTGAGAAAGAGAGGAGAAAGACTTGAAATATACCGCACGAGGACTCGAGGATCCTAATTAAACAAGGAGAAATTAAATCAAAAGATTCCTCCTGATATATACGTCCGATATATTTCCGAGGGAGTTCGAAGAGCATTGGATGGAATCAAACGATCCGTTCGTCGATGCGTAATCGTAATCGGTCCTTCGCCTTCTGGCAGTCCGATCGTTCTCGTCCTGTCGAAAGTCGAGTCTATATCGAGGATGTATCTACGCGTGACGAATACACATGTGTACTTCTGCTACTAACGACCGAGTTTCTGCTACAACAGATTCATCATATTTCCTCGCGCGTGTCTCGTTGCGCGATCCAGCCTTCCTGCGCATCTTCGAGCGATCGCGTCATCGCGCGGACGCGGGCGCGGGCGCGGGGACACACGTGCGCGACGCTCGGTGTATCTCGGGCGCAAGTGCCGTGGGGCTACGTTCCACCAAGCAGAGGGCAAGTGTTAACGACGAGGCACGCCGTCAGCATCTGCGCCTTTTTCTCCTCTCCGTCTGTGTTTTCGCGGATTCTCGCGCTCGCGCTGGCTGATTGACGACACATGTGCCCGTCGTCGCGCCGCCGCCGCCGACGACGACGACGACGACACGCACATGCCGTCCCCGCGGCGAGAACAGATATCGCCGCTTCTCACCCCGCGGAGGGACAACCACCGACTGCGATAATAGCGGGGACATGGCGATAAAAAAGAAAGAGGGGAAAGAGAGAGAGAGAGAGAGAGAGAGAGAGCAAGAGAGAGAGAGAGAGAGAGAGAGAGAGAGAGAGAGAGAGAGAGAGAGAGAGAGAGAGAGAGAGAGAGAGAGAGAGAGAGAGAGAGAGAGAGAGAGAGAGAGAGAGAGAGAGAGAGAGAGAGAGAGAAAAGAGCTCAGAGACCAGAACGAAGAGCTACGTCAAGGCCGCGTATACGAGCACACATATGGCGAAATCTTGCATGTCCGGCTTGGAGTGCAAAAAGAGCGGACGGACTTTCGATAGTTTCACGCTCATAGACGGAGCGCGACGCGCGATTGCTCTTTTGTGAAAGATTGACTCTGATTGACCGTACGGTTGCGCGATGTACGAAATATCGGTAGTATTCCAACAGAAATTTACACAGAGCGAAGGATCGATTTCATTTAATTTGTAAGCAAAACCCGCTTGTAGAAATAGGAACGGTCGATCGTGCGATGATGAAATTACACGCGCGATACCGTCCTTCCGTCTGTTCGATAATTTCAGACACACAACCGGCACAGCTTCGAACTTGTAGCGGTGACATGATATGTGACGTGACTGCGAGGAAATGGTTGTCGCGATATTGTCCCATCGTGCTGTGAAGATATTTCGTACAAATCGAACGTCGATACTAATGTATTTTCGCGAACCCTTTCTTTTTTTCGTATTGAAAGATTCCATGATGACCAAAAGAAATCGGAACGTACCGATCTTCGGGATTGTGGACTAATATCGCGGGGTATTTACACGTGACGTGTTATCGCAACGTTGAATTTGTTGGCTCGAATCGCGCGACATTGCATTCGCTATAAATTGTCGAAACGAGGCTATCGCGGGCTATATCGACGTTTGTCCTTAATCGGTTGTAACGCGGTCTCCCACAATGAACGTTAATAATAAGTGACAAAGATAAGCCGAGCTGAATATAATAATGCTTTATCGGAATATAATAAACAGTATAATTCGAGTATATTGCTTATTATTTAATGTCGCTAACGAAAGGAAAATGCCCATCGAAATCGAAATGAAATCATCCATGATAAGCGGCTATGCCGCCCAAAAAAAAGAAAGAAAAGTAGATTGCCGATTTATCTTCGCTCTTATTTTTGACGGAAGGGCAATCGCATTACTCGTAAGGAAAAAAAAAAAAAACATATGCTCTTACTATGCTTTTGTCACATTACCTTAGATGACGAATAATGATGCGTGGTAGCAAACAGAGAAATTCACCAGTCATTCGTCGGTAAATTCACACAAGTCAGACACACTGCGTGTGCCATCTGACAAGAACGCGAACGACTCGAAACGCGCGCTTTTTCTTTCCCCGAGTAACAACAAGTACGTACTCCGAGGATGCCTTGACGCATCGATTCGCGATGCGTTCGATGCTGTTCCCTCACCTGTATGATCGGTATGCCGGTGATGATTCCTCACGTACGGCGGTGCAGGATGCCTGGCCTGCATGTCCCAGTAAGGATTCCGGCTGTTTCCGAAATTGTTCACTCTCGGCTGCTGCGAGGGCGATGATTGCTTGCAGGGCAACCGGGCCATGGCAGTCATCATTTTCTTCAGCGTTATCACGAGATCTAGACTGATTACTTCATCGACGTCCCATACAGTTTGTTACGCCGTCGTCTCAGCCCCATTTTCGAGCTATTGTCTATCGCCTGAAACCAGGTCGAAATGGGAATAGTCACGAGCCAAGTGCAAAAATGCATGAAATATGCATGTACACCGAGATAAATTCCATATGCGCAATCGGACAATTCTCACGACAGATACAGAGGAGAGGATGGGGCTAACTATTAAGAAATTTCGTTTGGAACGGAGAAATTAAGCATGCGGAGCTCTCGCTCGGGCATCGAGTGAGAAAGTACAAGTTCTCGCGCCTAGTTTAATATTTATCGAGCCGGCTGTATTCAATACAAACTCGGCATATCGCCGAGACCAGACGCCTTCCATTACCATAACACCGACTCCATAATGCAGGGCTACCTTTACAAAAGGATAAAACATACATACATACATACATACATACATACATACATACATACATACATACATACACGCACGCGCGCGACATCGAAGGAACACCTGTACGCCCCTTTATCGGATCTTGTTCTACCAATAGCCGTCCCAATTTACACGATCGCACCGAAAAGTGCGTTTTATTCGCGCCGCGGTAGCTCGCTACTTGATCTCTCGCAACAATACCGTTGAAATTGGTTAACGTAATCGCGCAAAAACCGTGGACCGATGAAAAAAGAAAAGAGAGCTTTTAAGATCTTCGTAGATCATTCACTCGTTATATCTATTTATATACGCGTCTCTCCGACACCGTATACAGGACGTATACAGGAGTAATTACGATCTTTACGATTCGAGATAGCCGATAACTCGATGTAATGAGAGTGAATTTCAATCCTAAGATACCGTACGTTCGCAGTTCGCAGCGTGAAGGGAACTTTTATCCAGCGGACGCTCGAATGATAACACCGATTTTCATCACACAATTTTAATCTTCGAAATTTTTATCCTTACCGCGAAATGCGAGATAATTTCGATTTTACTTCAATTCGTCATACACAAACAAGCACATACGCGTACAAGATTTTAGGTTAACAAAAATATAATAGAAAAATATATTTGCATTCGGTGACAAATTATGCATATAACTAGCAAATTTCTGTAAGCGACCAAGTCGGTCTTCCAAGAGATTTCTCGCGAAACAGAAATTTTTTAACGATCGTACGAACAGTAGCCAGACCGTTCCGAGACGGTCAGGGATATCGATATCCCCGATGAAATTTAAGCGTCCCACGCAGGTCCGAAAAGGCGTTCGGTTGGTGAACGGTATATCTCCCGCTGTTGAAACAGCGGGATCGCTCGACTTGACCGAGCAGCAAAAAGCTTGGCGGGTCCTTCTCCCGAGAGGAGCGCACGCATACCACGCGGTTCCACGTGCATGAGTGCTGTGTGCAATGTGCACGGATGCACATTGCACACAGTTTGGCGCGTAAGGCGACCGATAAATCGGCAAGTGCGCGTGTGTGTGTCCGTCGACGGTGCGTCCGACGAACGGTATTCGTCCTTGTGTGAAAGCGTGTGAGATGTCCTAACTGCACGTGAGATAATACGTGCGCACGCCGCGACAGGGACGCGCATCGGCGATTGTTGCATCGCGCGTGTGAGTATTCGCGACTCGCGTGCGGGTGAATCAACACCGGCCGCCGCCAATCATCGATCCCGTGTTAATCGTTGCTCAATGCGTCCGCGTCCGCGTGACACTTCCGCATATCTCCGCGTAATTTTCCGCGATTTGTTTGAGATCTCGCCGCCCGGTGAAAATCACGTTGAATTAGAACGCACGAGATTACGCGCGCGAATGGTCAATGAATGTTGCTGTGGACGTGACGAAACTTGGAAAAGGCAGGATCTCGCGCGCGCGCGCGCGCGATCGCGGAGATGTAAAATTTCTATCGACGTCAATAACGTAGAGGTGATTCTGCGCCGAGTCTCTAACCGAGTTTTCTCTCTCTCTCTCTCTCTCTCTCTCTCTCGGAATGTACGCGTGATGATCCATAGACACGCGGTGGGATGAAGAACGTCCTGTCCGCTTTATCGCACACCTACGCGCGATTGCACGCTCACATGCACTTGCCTCCGTTGATTGTTTGCATAGACTGTGTCTGCTAGACAGTCGGCCGAACGGAAGCTGCTGCCTACAGAGTTCTGCAGACGCCGAACGTACGAATGCACCTTGCTTAAATCGCTGGCTACAAATGTCGAAGGAATCAAACAAATGTTGAGAGAAAAATTTTTGGAATAACAGATCACATTAGTGACGAGTATCTCGACTTTAAATTTCTTTGAAGTAGGCAGGACCAAATCGGCAGAATCGAAACACACCTATTAAACTTTTTAGTACTTATTTTGTGCTAATTTGTGCTACTAATAAAAATTTTGTACCTCGTGCCGTTTTGAAAAAAATCGTGCCGCTGCTACCTTCATATGAAGCCAGCAGGACCACAACAAAAAGTAATTTAAAATTAAAAACAAGTACATAAATAGAAAGAGCATAATTTGTGCTAATTTGTGCCATCAGAAAGAAGTTCATATTTGCATTCAGTTTCAGAAAAACAACACTTATTAAATTAAAACCCAGAAATCAATTTGAAACGTCAGTATCCGTTCTTATGAATAGACTCGAACCGCAACTCTTGCAACAGATACCGTTTATTTTGTGCTACTAAAATATGTAATTGGAGATTTTGTGCCCACGGCATTTTTACAAAAAATCATCCAAGAACCAGCTTACACTCAAAAGTAAAGTGCCACTTGTGGTCAGCAGAATCCAGCCGCGACTTTTGCAAAAGATACCGCATATTAGCAAAACATATTAAATCAAATATAAAAATTATACCGGCATTATTAATATATGCGAAAGAAAAATAAATTTTTATTTCTAAAACTTATTGGACATAGTTAAAAGTTTTTTGCCTATTTTTAACAAAATTAAGTCTTTATTTAAAAACCCCCACACAATTTAAATAGCCTATTCACAACAAAACAACCACAATCTGTTAATTACAAACTGTTAATTACAAACTTAAATGTCACAAAATATCTGACATCTATTGCAAAAGTCGCGGCCGGATTCTGCTGATAACAAATGGCACTTTACTCTTGAGCGTAAGATGGTCCTTGAATGGTTTTTGTAGGAATGCCGCGGGTACAAAATTTGCAGTTACATATTTTAGTAGCACAAAATAAGCGATATCTTTTGCAAAAGTCGCGGCTAGATTCTGCTGATAACAAATGGCACTTTACTCTTGAGCGTAAGATGGTCCTTGAATGGTTTTTGTAGGAATGCCGCGGGTACAAAATCTGCAATTACATATTTTAGGAGCACAAAATAAGCGGTTTCTTTTGCAAAAGTCGCGGCTGGATTCTGCTGATAACAAATAGCACTTTACTCTTGAGCGTAAGATGGTCCTTGAATGGTCTTTATAGGAATGCCGCGGGTACAAAATCTGCAGTTACATATTTTAGTAGCATAAAATAAGCGGTATCTTTTGCAAAAGTCGCGGCTGGATTCTGCTGACCACAAGTGGCACTTTACTTTTGAGTGTAAGCTGGTTCTTGGATGATTTTTTGTAAAAATGCCGTGGGCACAAAATCTCCAATTACATATTTTAGTAGCACAAAATAAACGGTATCTGTTGCAAGAGTTGCGGTTCGAGTCTATTCATAAGAGCGGATACTGACGTTTCAAATTGATTTCTGGGTTTTAATTTAATAAGTGTTGTTTTTCTGAAACTGAATGCAAATATGAACTTCTTTCTGATGGCACAAATTAGCACAAATTATGCTCTTTCTATTTATGTACTTGTTTTTAATTTTAAATTACTTTTTGTTGTGGTCCTGCTGGCTTCATATGAAGGTAGCAGCGGCACGATTTTTTTCAAAACGGCACGAGGTACAACATTTTTATTAGTAGCACAAATTAGCACAAAATAAGTACTAAAAAGTTTAATAGGTGCGTTTCGATTCTGCCGATTTGGTCCCGCCTACTTCAAAGAGGTCGACTTTAATACACTATCTTTCCTTACATTGAGAAAAATAGCATTCCATTGTCTGAGAAAAGCGATTATTCAATTTATTTTCCTTCCTTTAGGAATATTATTATCCCGAGCCGATATAAAGAATAAAAGATTGTGCGGAGAATGTTCGCGTTTGCTTTCTGCGATATAGAAAATGAGAACCGGCTGTTCACTATTCATACACGAGAGGAACGTAAATCTCACGTGTTGACTATAAGGAACGTGTCGTCCCAAACTTAGCGAACCACCTTTCACCTATGGATGCACCGAGCGCATCCATCCGGAATCAATTTTTCCTTAGCTGGTGAAGAAAATGTCGAGGCCGGTCACCGCACGCCAGCTTTCATCAGTTTTCGCGACGCTGAATATTCTCGGCGTAGACCCTCAGTTAGCGTCGAGTGGTTTTCAAATTACGAACCTATCCGTTTAACGATGAATGATGACTCGCTCATATGTTTGTATTTTCGGAATTTTTCTTCTAAAAAATTGTCCTGTTATTCACGAAAAATCATGATCTACAGGGCTGTTTTTTCCCCTCACGAACGGGATAAAGCCCGCCTTTAAACCGCCTCGTGTTGAAGGCATTATTCTTTATCTTCCTTCGACATGCGATGAATAACGATGATACAATGACGCTATCATCACGGAAGCGTTTACGACCAAGTAAGCCAAGTCCTTAGATGTAAAAGGTGCCATTGGTAGGTCCAGAACATCCCGTGCTTCAAATGGACGCATTAAACTCGTGTAGTAATCGCGGGAAAAACGTCGAGCCCAGCAATATCGGGTGTATATACGCGTCAGGCGCGTAAACCATCGACGGATGCGCATCGAATGAATCCGCCTGGTCAACATTTTATGGTACGCGCGCCAATTGACCTACATTGTTACGTGTCGCAGGAAGAGAGAAAGAAGGAAGGAGGGAGGGAGGGAGGGAGGGAGAGAGAGAGGCAAGGAAGGAAGAGAGACTGGGCCTGGGGCTAAATTAGCAGGAGTCCGACGTGGGTGACGCACGAGCGTGATGGTGACTTAATTAGCCAATTACCAACGCATAGAGTAACGGCGCG